ATTAATATATTTTTAATATAGTACTGGGGTAAATAAATCTTAATAAAACGTATCCATTGATGTCGTAAAGACAATGTGCATATATATAATTTTAATTTTATATTACTCTTCAAAGATTCACTCCTATCAATTTTTTTGGGTATATGTCGTTTATTATAAAAAAAGAATTTCATTTACCAAAAAATAAAAATGTTCAAGTATTAAAATATTTTTATTAGTATAGTCTTTATCTAACAAAAAAAATTACTATGAAATTTAATAATTTAAACTAACATTAATAATGCATTGTAGTAATATTTGATATATTGATAAGATATATAAATATTTTTATTAAAAAATTTATTTATTAGAACAATAAATGTGTTAATATAAAGTCATAATATCTGTACAAACATATTAATATTTATTAGAAAAAGCCTATCTAAATAAAGATCAATTTAATATTGAATTATTAATAAATAGTTTTTTTTTTTTTTTGCAGTTGTGTGCATGTTCTCTTCTACAAGATCATCAATAAGAAAATCATCAAGAAGTACACAGTTTATATTAATTTTATCGATGTTTTAAATCTCAGTATAGATTTAATTAAGTTTTACAGTGATTGAGTAGTCATTGATTAAACTATGACTCCAAGCTGGCTAAAATTAATCATTACAAGTAACTAAACCGTATTGAATAAAACGGGTGAGAGCTTAAAGCATCCTCCTCTAAAATTGCCTCCATCATATAGACACCCTTTCGCTTTTCCGAGAATAAAATTCCTATGCTTGATTGCCTATTAATTTAAGAAAGGGGTATCCAGCAATCTACTTATCTTCTCATTCTTACTATCATGGGATGGCCTAGCTGACGCTACTGATCATTTTGCCAGAGTTTGATCAAACTTTGGTGATTCGTGTGAACAGCTTAATTCTTGCCTATACACATCATTGCGAATTAATTCTAAACTAGTTTTGAAAACGGAAACTTGTTGCAGATCGATCATGTGCTCAGAGAAAATAAGCATGCTTAAACAAGTAATTAAGTCAAGGAAGATATTATTTATACTGTACATCTAACATAAATAAAAAACTTAAATTGATTTTCCACAGAGGTAGTATTATTGATTTGCATGCGGGCATCCTAAAAATCATTTTGTATTCATCACCGCCAAATTAAATTCAAGCGTCAATCTTTGTCAGTTCGGCTTAGTATCATTAAATCATTGGAAGGACTGATAATTGGTACAACGGAATTAATAAATTAGTCTATGATATTTGTTGGATAATTGTGTTTGTAATATGAAGAGATAAAGCTGCAGGATCCCCAGTGCTTAATTTGCTGGATGATAATTTCTTCTAGATAAACTTTATTAAAAGGTAGATGGCGTGTGTTTACGAGTTTGTTCCAGCTCGTGAGGGGGTTCTAATTAGGTTGCTAGTATATAGAATCGTATTAGGATGCATTTAAGCACGATTACGATGCATTCATACTCCTTCGTAAGTACAACAACACGAACCAGATCGAGTTCCCACTACTCCACAGTTTGCTCGGAGCTGTATGTTTTAGTTCTGAATGCAACACATTTTTCTTTTCCTAGGGTCTGAACTGCCTGTCTCATATTCTAATTTAGCTTGTCCCTCAACAACATTCCATTTTCACTTTAGGAAAATGATTTGTTAAGGTGTGGAACACGTGGAGGAAGATAAATAAAAAAAGAAGAGAGAGAGATGGAGATAATGTGAGAATTTAAAAAAAAAAAAAAATCAAAAACCACGAAGAATGAATATAAGAAAAGAAAATAATTACACTACACTTTATATGGGATCCAGAAGATGACATCAGAAGGTGTACTTGAGCGGTCAAGCATAGTTTCTGTGTTTAAAAGTAAAAACAAAAATCACACTGATTCAAATAGAAAGTACACTAACTATATATATAGCACTACTGCACTTCAATTTGGGATGAATATAATTGCATACCTCACCCGTAAAACAAGAATGAATTTTGGCATGATATTGAACGTAGATAATAGTGGAGTATATACTAATTAAGCAAAAATCAGTTACAGGGCAACTCTCCTTTGGCGGATCATACGGATTAAAGAAACATACATAAACCAAAATGATTGATTCATGCACGTTCTTGTTGAGCACGACTGCCAAAGGGAAGGAGCCCAGCAACTGGTTCGCTTAGTCGTTTTCAAATTCTATTATATAAAGCCTAAACATCTTTGATAGCTGCTTGAAGCGAGACAAATGATAGAGGCATTTATAATCGTGTAAGTAGCATATGCTCATGGATATCCTTCCATTCTGTGGTGCCTGCTTTCTACGCATTCCATGCAAAGCTTTCTTTTATCTGAAAAAAGACACCTAATTCTAACTCCAATATGTAGATTCTTTCCTAGCTTTTGCTTTGCATAAACCACTTTAGAGTTTCTTTTTAAAAATCAGGAGTTTAAATAAGTGAAACCGCGTTATATATTCAAGGCTTATGACCTATGCATTTATCTGATTGGCTATTTTTTTTAAGGCTTGATTTAGTATTTTTAAAATTTTAGTATAGCTTATAAGTTTATTTATAGTGTTTTTAAATAAGTTAATAAATCTAAATTTATATATAAATCAAATAATTTAAGCTTTTAAATATATAATATCAAAGTATCATTATTATTATGAATGTTTATTAAATAGATCAGTGTGGTAGACTTAAAAAGATTTTTAATAGCCCAAAATGTGACTTTTCAAATTAAATAGACTTTTAAAGAAGTGTTAACATAATCTTTTTAAGCCTGATGTAAGCTAAGACCTCAGGTTATATATAGGCTCCTGACAAAAAGGCTATTTCCAATTAAAAATAAATTTTATAATATTACTTTACTCTTTCAATTTTGGCTTAAGTTGAAATTTTGACATTTTCATAGTCTATACTCGCATATTTTAATTTTTAGGGAACATGCAAAATAAAATAATTTAATGTAAGAGAGAGAAGTTTTCAGAAAATATTGAATCATAAGTAATCTGTATCATAAACGTTATCGATGTAAGTGTTAATTAATAAGGTAGCTATTGATTTAAATTAAAATTGGAAAGGTTAAGTGAAAAAAAAAACATATATTTGAAAAAAATTCAAACTTCAAATTGAAGGTACAATTAAATTTTAAAAAAAATTGAACAAAGTTCTCACTTCTCTTTTGTTTTCCTTCTGTCCACGGTTCCTGCTGACGGGAGAGATGCGTTCTTGGGCTCTTTATTTCCTGAAGTTTCTTTAAAACACTCATATAGTTTTTTAACACTTTTTTTTATCATTTTTATTTGAAAGTTTTTAAGACTTAAAAAAATCATGATTCACACTCTTTATTTAACGAGTCATACACACAAATTTATAAATTTTAACAATTTCCAATTTTTTGATAAAAAAAGTGTGTCAAAATATATTCTACTAGCACTTTTTTTTTATATGGCAACAAAATCTTGGCACATACTGTGCCATATATTACCCATATTACTCTTTATATATATTTTTAGTGCCCTATTGAAAACGGGCGCTTGAATAGCAATATATACTATGTAAAATATGTCTGTAAATGTATCTTATTTTCCACTTCATTTTCAACTCCATACATTTATTAATCTATATATAATACACGTATAAACAATTTTTCATGCTTATTAAGCCTTGTATTCACTTTCCTTTGAAGATGATTTTTACAAAGAGAAAAACATTGGTACCGTAGAATATAATCATTACCTTTAATAAATAGAAGAATTATAAATGATATTAATTGTTCATTGAAAGCTCATTCCCATAGTTTATACCACGGAATATAACCATATATCTGCCCTCTTCGAACTTTTGAGAAGATATATTTGATCACTTATTCTCGTTAATGCTTAACGAGTCAAATGAACTTACTCATTTATGAACGAACTCAGTATAATCCTTTCCACATGGATGCAGCATATTAACATTTTTTATTACCAATATCAGCGTACTTATTAAAGTCGGTTCGGATTGAGCTATTCAATTAATGAACATTAAAAAACCTAATTCAGGAGGTAATATGTCAAATTAATTATATTCAGTAATCGATAGTAAACAAAATAACGATTCAGCTAAAAAAAACCAATAGATTTGCCTATAGCAATTTTTTTTAAAAAAAAAACCCTCAAAACTCGAAAAACGAAAAAAGGGTAAGCAAAATAATTAAATTTCAAAAAATAAAGAGTTTGTTATTTATTTGAAGATGAAAGAGTCTGATCAATTTAATACACATTTAATGTTCAGACCTTACATCAATAATAAATATAATAAAAACAAAGCTTATAAGAAGAGTATGTGAAATAATTATCACTTCACAAATTAATTTTTATTAATGAATTAAGCTAAACTCAAATTGAATTTAATATTGAATTAGTTTTTACTAAAAAAATAATCTATTAATTTTTTTCAAAAACAAATAATATGAATGTGTAGGGGTGTTGGAAAATCTTAAATTAACTGCAGATATAGTTAGCTAGTTTTTGGAGTTGAGACTACTTGATGCTAAAATGAGACAATTTTAGTTGCCGTGTTTTATGTTGAAAGAGTACTTTTTGCAATAACTGGATATTAAAAATAAAAGAGTAAGTGAGAGATAAAATAATTATTAATGATGTCAAAGATGATATTAACTCTTTAATTAATTTTTGAATAATTAAAAAATGTTAATTTATAAATAGAGTGGTCCAGTCAGGCTGTCACCTCATTGATATTCCATCACCTAGTGAAAGCCATTACCAAATTAACCTCAAACTTAGACTAAAAAGCCAGTAAGTTGCCCATCTGTTGTAACTTAAACAATGAAAATAATATTATTTCATTGCTTTTGGCTTTGATTAAGCAATGAGACGTAGGGGAGTGCGTTCCTAGTCGTTCTCATTGTGAAAGAAACTTGATATAAAATCCAATTAGATATCTGAATAACCTAATAATTCCATTTGATGAACCTTAAAAAACACAGATGATATATATATATATTACTCGGTTTGGTCGCCGGCAAGTCTCTCTCTCAAAATTTTGACTCCCATATACCTGCACCAAAATAAGAAAATAAGAGATAAGAATAATGAATTAAAATATGAGAAATCTCATAATATAAAATCACCTAATATATATATATATAATCTTATTGTTTTACCTTCCAAGCATCATAAGAGTGGCTTGGGGATTAGTTCCTGGAGAATAATTAAAGGTAGAACCATCGATAATGCGGAGAGCGTCGACGCCGAGAACCTTATAATCAGTATCAACAACTCTCCGAACTTGGCAACCCCCATGGTAATGCCATATAGTCATCACAGTGTCCTTACAGAACTGTTCCAAAGACGTTGAAGTGTTGGTGTGTTTGGGCAACAAATTAACGGGGGAACTTGCGGTCATGTTGAGTAGCAAGGACACTGGCATGTTCTTGTATCTGAATGGAGCAAAAGCCTTGGATTCGATTACCTTCTCGATGGTTCGAATGCCTTGGACGCATCTCTCCAAGTCTCTGGGGTCTTTGAAGTAGTTGAAGGTCACTGATGGGTTCTCATTTGGATCACTGCTTTGTAGCTCAAGATGCCCCGTTGAAATTGGGCCCATTATTTTCTCAAGGATGAACCCGCCCCTGAACGCTGCCTCCTGTAGCCTCTCCATCGAGTCTATTGCCTTTGCCAAGGCTTCTGGAGTTCTCTGCTTCGGAGGCAACTTCGAGAATTGACCAACCTGCATTGTGCATTGCCACTAAATTAAATCACAAGTTCATTGATATTCATCAATTGGGTTGTCAAATGTGTTGTTAAGGTTAATGTAGACCAGAGAGTTGCCTGTGTGGGCTGTATTAAGTTCTTTTTTTTTTCCTGGAACAAAAGGTGTAGTTCAGTGGAAACTCTCAGAAGACTTGTCTAAGTTTGAGGAATGCTATATTTTTTAAGAATATAAAAGTGGATTTTGAAAAGATTAAGAAAAATATTGGGACGTGCTATTAGATTATTAGTAAGAAATTAATAAATAAACCTCCTTTTATAGAAAACCATGCTAAAATTGTATTGAAAATTGTGGTGAGATGTTTCAATTTTTTATATAATAAATAAGAGGATTGATTGAGGGAGTTGAAAAAAATAAAAATGGTTAGCATTATTTTGAGTGAAGTTAAAACATTAATGGGCATTAATGAGTTGAAAAAACCTTTGGGGAAAACATTCCGTAATCTCGTGGAGAGCCACCAGCAAAGTTTTGGCCGCTGGCAGCTTCAATATAGCTGCCAAAGTGGGTAATGGCAACAACCTCAATGAGAGAGACCTCTGCGGGGATTGGAGACGGGACAAAGATTGCGTTCATTGGATTATCCGACATTCCCTGTCCTACCATGGGCTGCTCCAACACCACTTTTATCTTATGTTCCTCAAGTTCATGTGCAGGCCCAATCCCACTCAACATTAGAAGCTGTGGGCTTCCCAATGCACCCGCTGACACTATTATCTCATTCTTGGGCGCCTCATTCAGATATGCCCTGTGTTCTGCCCCCAATGCATCCCTATATATTACTCCATTCGCCACTGCCCTTGATCCACCTGTTCAAATTAATCATTAATTAAATTGTGGGAGTGCCAAAATAAATCAACAAAATGCTATAATGGAAAATAATCATTAACCTTTCTTTTTAAACAAGATTTTGTGGACGGTGGCATGCAAAAGTACAGTAATTCCAGTGGGGTCAGCATAATCCAAGAGATCAGCGGCAGTGTGCCTTTGGCCATTCTGGTCAAAGATGGAGCCTCCAACCTTAGTCCCATAAACATGGTCGAAAGTGAAACCATTGTAAGGCACAATCCCTACTTCCAACAATCCATCCCTCACAGCTGATTGCCACTGCCGCATAATGGGCTCAAATGCCACCACTCGCTCCACCCATTCATACGACTCATTCACTAACCTTTCCTCCCAACCAGCTTCTCTGTTCAATCCACACGCATAAACACACGCAAGTACATCAAATTATCAAATAAAAAGATATACAAATTAGAGTAACTACTCTCATCCAAATAATCATCATTTTATATCTTTTTCTTTCATAGTAGCATGATATTTTCAAATTTTAAGTATATATTTATTATATTTTAAATATAATTGATGTTAACAAAAATCAAAATTAAAAAATGATAATTATTAATATATTTTTAATATAAACATTTTATTCATGAATTTCTTAACTAATAATACACTCGTCTCATGCCGCTAGTAAACAAAAATCATATAAAACATGGTATTGAATCGTACCTTACGTAGTGAGGGCTTGCGCGAGTGTAGAAGCCAGCGTTCAAACAGGTTCCGCCGCCAAGGACGCGAGCTCTTGAGTTGATTACGCCGTCTTCGGAGATGAAGCGCTGAGCCGGAGAAGAAGGTGAGGTGTCGGAGAGTGCAACACCAAAAGCAGCTAAATTGCTGATGTTGGGGTTTCCATAAGGTGACCCACCACGTTCAAGCAAAAGAACTTTGTGATTTTCCGACAGTGTCGCCGCTAAGGGACACCCCGCCGTGCCGCCACCAATTACGATGTAGTCGTAGTAGGAGATTCTTCCAGCTGATGTTGCATTCTGCATAAACGTATATTTCCTACCTGTGTATACATATGTGTGTCATGAATGATGTTTTTGAACCACACTTCTAGGTTTAATTGAAGGATCGAAATAATTATATGAAATATTATATTTGGTGTTACTTTTTAGTAATTTAAACAATGATTAAAATTCACATGTTTATGAAGTCAACCACACTCTCAGAATTCATCCATAACATTTGATAATACTAGTCCTCCAATGCTTTGCCATTATTGCTAGCCGGCACCGCGGATCTATTAAATGGTGAACATTTTTTTAAAAGAAAGTCTTTGATTAAAATCATCTTGCTTCTTCCTGATGGGAAAAAATAATCAGATTCTCTCGGAACCATATATTGAATTAGCAACGTAGGGAATTGGTTGATTCATTTTAATGTGATAAGGTGCAATATAATATTTATTCAAACATGTATTAATTAGGCAAGGAAAATTGGAAGCATTGTAAAGAGGTCTAAAGTCAACTATGTATTCATATAAAAAAAGTCAACTAATATGTTCTTACGTTTTAAATAGTTAGACCCACATGAAGAGGACTTCCCCTGCCCTTTCCCATGCAATAAAATGATCAAACTTTTGTACTTGGGGCGGCTCAGAGTAGACAAGGGCCCTCCTCAATCCCTGTTAAAACATTTGAGTTGGTAAAAGGATCTTGCATCTTTATGTTTTCAATATATCATTTCTGATTAAAATTCATTAAAAAATTATTAACTACGGAAATGAAGTTCATTGAATAAATATAAAATTTATATAATTTTATGAATCAAATAAATTTTAATCAATGATAAAAAAAATATTTGAAATAATGTGTTAGAAATATCTCATTCATATTTCAAAAATATTTTTTGCATTATTAGGACCTAAACATCTTTAGATATAGCAATTGGATGTATGCATAACAAAAAAATTATAATATGGGATACAATATTAATTTTTAATGATTCAAGATTTTTCTTAATGCGTGTTATTTTCTTTTTTCTTTTCATGTATCTCTTGACTGAAAAGTTAAAAAGAGAAAAAGCAAAAAACTATTGATGGAGAATCAAGATTCCACAGCACTTCCTATGGTTTGGTAACACCTCGTCTCCCTTAATTAATGACCAATGTGTAGTACCCCAATTGCTTACTCATGTTCATTACTCCTTTTCTCTTCTGAAGTGAAGTTATTTAGCTTTCTAATGAGATAACTTCATGACATTATTTAATCTCAAAACTAATATATAAACCCGCAACATTGTCTGTGTTCTAGCGAGAATAATGAACTTTTATTTTTTTCATGAGCCATAATAAACTACACCTAGAATAATACATGTGAATGAATTTCACCTAGGCCTAGTTTAATAAATTTCTAGAAAATTATTTATGTAAAATAATTAAAAATAACTTAAACAAGAGCTATGAGCAAAATGCCTCAAAACATTCTTCGACGTTAGAGTTATTGAGCAAACAAGCTCAACGTGAGAGAGTAAACACAGTAAGAGTAAATTAGGTGTAACTCACTGAGAGCGAAAATTTTTTGGTTTTAAAAAGAATATTATGACTACATTTTTAATGAACGTGGGACATCTTGAAAATCACTAATAAGTAATAATATTTATTATCCAATCTAATTTCACCAGGACAGTACTACATTCTGTTTGATACCTGCTTCACCCTGCAATCTTACCTATCTGCAATTATATGGTCACTGATTAAAACAGAGAAAAACAAAGGTATATTCTTACCTTTTTGTGAAACACAATGTTTAGGAGATAAGAGAATCCCAACAAGTGAGACCAGAATCAGCCAAACACCCATAACTGCTGACTTGTGAGGTACAGCGCAGCTAAACTTGGAGTAATAAGGCCTTGAGAATCGAATTTAGTTTACGTTCTGCTGACTCAAACCAACCCTTCTTCTTCATTATATAAAGTGGCAGCCCCAACGATGCCAGCGGCTATAAGTTTGACTAACATAAAGATCACCTACTGTTTTTCTCGCCGAAGCCAAAGCCATCTGATGTTATGTAAAAACATGGCCCACAATGACAAGAAAATGCAGACTTTGTGATTTGTTTGTCGCTCTCACAATCTCTTGCCTTGCCAAATTTATTGTACCAATGTATCGGAGTTATATATCGAAAGAAAGAAAGAAAAAAAGTTTAAAATGAATGGGAAGAAAATGCCAATTTTAATTGGCTTATTTATTAAGTGGTCACTAGAGAAGATAGAAGACAGTTGGGTATTGTATTGTACACCTAATAACTGCCAAATACCTTGATCGTGGTTTTTCTTTTCTTTTGTATCCGTTGTGATAATGTGGCCCGTGGTGACTGGTATCATCCTCTTTTAGTTATGAATCGTATAGATATCTCTATGTATGTGTAAATTATAACACTGGTTATGAGATAATATTGTCACATAATTTTTTAATAGCTTAAATATAGTATTTGTCCATGTATATAAATGATCTGTCATAAATTTCTATAAAATTTGTTGTTAATACATAATTTTAAAAAGTTAAAAATTTATAATTTAATTTTTGTCATCAACTTTTTTCTAAGTATTAAAACAGATAAAAAGTCAGCTCAGCACTATTACGTGTTATATAAATACTATTTATTTTATAATATTTTATTATTTAAAATAAAAATTTATTAAAAAACCTTTTAACATATTTTATATATTTATAAAATAAACTTTCTTTCTCTCTTATTCTCTACCTTTTCAACTAGTGAAAGCTCCACTTTTTTCACCTCAACCCTAACCTCTGCTATGACTATCTCCCACTCTCTCCTCCTCCACCCCCACGTTAACCTCTCCACAGTCCCTCCCCTTCCACTCTTACTCCCTCCCTCCCCATCTTCCCACTTTCAAACTCACCTCAACCTTCACCCATTCACCATGAACCCCCGTTCACTCTCTCCTCCTCAACCCTTCCACCCCCACTATTAACTTCCCCGCAGTCTCTCTCCATTCCTCTACTCCTAAACCCACCCCAACCTGCACCCCTTCACTATGAACCTCACGTTCACTCCCTCCTCTTCAAACCCTCCATCCCCACCACCAACTTCCCGCAATTCCTCTCCTTCCTTTCCTACTCCTACTCCTTTCCCATTCCCCAACTTCCAAACCTATCCCTAACCTTCATTCCTACCCGCAACTTCTCTAAGAACTTTTAATTAACTAAGGGACCAAGTAACGTGCTCAGAAATCCGTTCATTTTCAACGGCGATTTGAGTGAGAGAGGGAGGAATTATGTAGAAGGAGTGGATCTAAGAGGTTGGTAGCTGTCTAAGGGACTGCCACCATAGTCCGACGTTGCAAGAGTTGGAGCTACAAAAGAGAAAAGAAAAAGATGATCATTTTATAAATTTTTAAATTATGTTAAGGTTCTTTTATAAATATTTATTTTTATTTATAAAATAAATTACGTGAAATAACATATAACAATCAGCACTTAACAGATAAAGTTGAATGCAGAAATTGAATCTTAAACTTCCAACTTTATAGACTACATCTTAACAAAAAAATTTATAAAGATTTATTACAAAATAATTGACCAATAATATATTTAAACTTTTTTTTTTAATTATAAAGATCTAACTATTCAAATTTTTTTCTTATCCACTTCTCCTAATACACCAGTAATTTTACTCACTATGCTCTGCATGAGAGAGGAGAGAGCGATTTGTCTTAGTTACACTAAAAAGGTTATTCCCCTTATTTATATAGTTGATGGCGTATGTAATGTACGTAGGAGAAGGGGAAAGATCCTTAATAGGATTCAACAACCTTAGTTAAAAGTTGTTTTGATATATATTAAATGATGTCGAAAGTTCATTAATAAGTTAAATTTTACATGGACATAAGTAAATCCCTCCAAATTTTAGGTCGCTGCATTCATTACAGCTCCAATGTGGTGTGTACAGCAATACCTCTAAAGCTATACAGCTAGAACAAGCACATCTTGCTAGTTTTTCTTCGGTTTCATTTGTGTTTGAGGACAGCGAGAACGTAATGTATGACCATTATTTTTCCTCTTCGTTGAGGCAGACCATGCCATTATTATATTGTTGGACAAAATGTAAAGTCAAAGTGATAAAAAAAAAATTGTGGATATAAATTTTTATTTTTAAAAAAATATATTACATTGAAAAAGTTATTGAATTTTTGTAGCCAAATTTTAGCCTGATCCTTAAAGTTGAAATTTAACTAGGTGGTGTTAGAATTATGTAATTATAGCAATACTACAAATAAAAAATTTATTATCTTTGTAATTACTATAATTAAAAGTAATTATATATTTTGTATTATTCTTTCTGAACGTGGTATCAAAGCCTAACATGAAATAAATTTAATATGTGATTCCGCAGTTGGTCCGGTGCTCGCAGGTGCAAATATTTTTTAAAAAACTATTCTCCACATTCAATTTTTGGATTCCCTCTTGTTTGGACCTGATTTGTCAATTGTCACTGTTTCAACGATATTTTTGTACGGCTTTTTGACGAACACCCTCGGATTGGGTTCACCCTACTCAGTTCGACCTATCCCCAAAATTTTGTCCCGAAGGAAGGTTCCACGCACCCTTACGTGCATCTTCACCTCGTCTGTTTTCTCTCTCCTTGCCACACCACTGCTTTGTTTTTGGCCGTTTGTTTTGTCAGGATTGATGCAATCTGCTATACTCCGATCTATCCTTTCTTGTTCGTTCCTTCATGACTTAATTCATTGGAGATAAAATAGAACTAAACAGTGTTTGGTATTAGAAATTTTTCATTCCCAAAATAACTTTCCTTGGAATGGGATTCCTAGGGATAGGTTTCTCGAAAAAATTGATGAAATATGATTAATTATTATTTAACTATTTTAAGGACAATGTTTATCATCAGTTTTTACATAAATAAAATTTTGATATTAAATAAATGTCTTGAGATGAAAAATTTTACGAGTTATATAAAAGTTGATTATAATTAATTTTATTACAATCATTATATATATATATATATATAAGTTAATTATAATTAACTTTCTTTTAATTTTTAAAAGATAATTATAATTAATTTTTTTAATTTTTAAAATATATTTGCACATGAGTCGACTTTCTTTCAACTTTTAAGAAACTCTTACACAAAAATTAATTTTTAAGATAACCTATAAATTTACTCTCAACCTAATTATAATCAATGTAAAACTTAATAAGCAAGATTTAAGTGATATAATGGTATTTTAAAGTGAAGAACATCCAACGCATATAGATACAACAAAATTAATGTATGTTTTTTTCAGTATGACACGCATAATGTAAATTTTGTATCCAATGATAATGTTTTAGTGAAATACATGGTAGAGAGAAACCATCGGCATTCAATTTGTATGAGAAAAGAGAAGACACACATCGCATATGAACGAGGCGGCCAAAATAAATAATATATTTAACTGCCACATATTCATCAATACAAGTGATCTGGGGTAAATCTTTAAAGCTTCTCGTTGCTGCCTCCACTAGATCTTTCTTTGCCTGACGTAATCGGAGGCAAATAAAGTATTAGTGGAAGAAGCAAAAAGAAGCTAAGGGTAAGAACCCGCTCCATCTTTATCATAAAAAAGAGAACTAAACATTTGGAAGAAAAAAAATGCACTACAACTGCTTTCATCTTCTATACTCCTCTATGCCTGGTCTTTTGTTTCAAAATGTGCTGCTGCACAAAAATTATCACTTTCATCTTGATTCGCTGCACTGCTTCTATCAGACGAGCTAAATTCATCGACCTACATTTGAGTAAGCTACTACCCAGTCTAGCTTTGTGATAATATAATACAACAAAATAAGGCTGTAAAACATTTCCACCTTTTAGCTGGAGTAATGCCAATGACATAACTCTAAACTCACAAAAGAGAACTGTGCCACTCTACCATTGATTTGGGACATTCTCTTAAATCAAGGGTAGAAAAACAACGTTGCTTTTTGTGACTGTAGAGTTGTGGCACTACTATTACCCTTCGAACTGTATTTTACCATGATTTCTTCAGGGAAAAAAAATCACCTCATATTTTATAGTGTCTGCGACTGTCACTAGATCAAAAGTCAGTCAGTCAGTCACTTATTATGCTTGGACATAGCTCATATGTCACCATGTCCCAACCATTTTTTCTTCTGGATCTTTGACTTTTCTGGATCAACAATCTCAAGAGCACCAAGAATGCATTTGCGGTATGAAAAATCTTCAACAGTCCCGTCAGTTCGTACTATATGGAAGCAGCGGCTATCCTTATGTTTAGGATGCCATCCAACCTGCAAATAGAAAAGAAAAAATGCACGGGCAACCATAAGCACGAAGAGAACTTGATTACACGATACATTTTAACTGGTAAAAGATTTGAAATCGGCAAAAGAAGCAAAATTGATCCAACCGTGTCTTTCTTCTTAAAACTGGCATATCATTACCATTAATAGGTATTTCCCCCCATAAATGCTACTACGGAATGAAGTTTTCCTTATAGAAAAGTAAAATAATTAGGTCCAGCCTTTCTGTTTAAATAAACAAGATGTGTGAAGTTTCCAGTCTAACCAAACAATTTAAGGTCTCACGAACACTCAAACAATGTTCTTCACTCTACTTTCACAAAAAATGGCAGCATCATTTTCATTTTGTTTTCTTTAGGGGTATTTGTAGTGCGAAAACAAACAAATACAAGTAACTGAAGTCTTAAAATGATGGGAAAAGGAAGAAATATTGGATAATTATTTATGTTTATAAGGTTTGGAAGAAAAACTGTCATTTATAAGTTATAGCATAAAAGAATTTGAAAAGTCTTTTGCTATATTTATCATATACCCACATAGGTTTCAACAGCACACGGACCAGTGCTACGTAAGTTTGACCGTGGCGTCATTGCTTATTGCCACAAATTTTAGTGGTAAAGAGAAAAAGGCAAGTTTGTATTTAGCCTTTGGGAGAATAGAAAAATTTCCCAACTCCAAAATCTGAAGTGCACTTTATACATTACCCTTATTCACATCAGCAAGAAGAAACAAAAACAAATTTTGAATGAAAATCAAAAGTCAAAACCTTCTTCACCCAAGCACACATACATACCAGTATGCACATTAGCATGAAGAAAAATAAATTTTGACCATGCATCCAAACTTTGTTCACACAAGAACATATACCTTTATGTCCCGTGCTCCAGTACCAAATTTCTCATTTTTACAGGGATGAAAACGCAAAACCTTTAGCATTGTTAGCTTATCCCTCTCACTTAGTAGCTCATCAATTGAATACCTGCATAGACAACAGCCAAAATGACACTTATTCCACAAAATACAGATCCTCAATCACAGCAAGGGGACCTAGACAACCAAACACAACTGTGTCCAATAGACATGTATCTCAAAGTTAGCAAGCAGCAATTTACACATAACAGGAAACTATCTAAATATTTTTAATAGGAACCCAAATATATAAAAAAAAATTAAAATAAAAGAACTTAAATGAAAATTCAATAAAACAAAGACCTAAAAAAGTAATTTAACCTTTATTCAAAAAGTACAGTCTAAAATTTATTTGAAAATTTCAATTGTAAAAATTGTTGCCTACCCTTTCCCTAAATTTATTTGTGAATTGAAAATGGGAATTGCGAAGAATCTAATTGGGACAACCTTGAGTAAGACAATAAATAAACGGGGATGCCATGGTGGTCTCCCCAAAGATAAAAATAATAAAAAACAGAATGAACCCATTATATTCAACAAAAAAAACTACTCTGATTAAAGAAAGACAGAAAACATAATGATTATTCAGCAGAAATTACTTTCATGGAAGCACCTAACTTCAAGAAACTACCATGGCTGACATAACAATGCATAGAACCTTCCAGTCGTACTAATTAATATTAATGCATGTTATATATGGTAATGTCGATGTCATGCATAGTATATACAGCACTAAATAGCATTAAATACACAAGCCATATTAGAGCATAGAAAAGACTAGAAGAGGATTGTCTTACTTGTTCAATATGCACCTCGATGCAGAAGTCAGTTTCTGAATATCATTTACTGTCACAAAATTTCTTAAAATGTTTTTCCACTGTTTACTCTCTTTCAAGGAATAACCACCATTTTTAGGCCTAAACTCAGAACCAAATTTGTCAGATGAATAATTGTGAGAATGAGGAGTGATGATCTTATCGTTAAGCTTGTCAATACTGGCTGCTAGCAGGTTATATACATCTGCAGACTTAGTTACCTCATGTCCCTGATATAAAAGCAAATATTTGACCATTATAAATAACAGTATTATACGTACAACTTGCAACATACAAGATAATTTTGCTCCATAACCCTGATGTTTTTCTGAGCCTTTCCTTCCTAAACAAAAAACCTAGTTGAAAAACCTCTCTGATGCACTTTGCCGTCAGAGAAATGATAAGCATTGTAAATTTACTAGGAACTGCAAACTTCCATGTATTAATTGATAATGACAATTGGAGAAACAAAAGGCATACATTTTAACAAACTCATGACATATAAATCAGTTTTAAGTTCTTAGAATGCATTATAAAGGTCTACCCTCTTGAAAAGGAAAAAAGTCAATAAGAAAGCCGATAAAAATTACAAGGGAGGATGCTGCATGCTTGTGAGAAATTGGTCAAAAGTTTATGATACTGAAGTGAAAATGTTCATAACTTTTATATGTCAGCCATATCATTTTCTATTTCAAAAAAATAGTGACTCTTTTTGGGCAGTGAAATATACTTGTACATTAAAACGTTCACACAATTGCCTTGCACACTTTCAGGTTTTTTAAAAATGGAATCATAATCATGATCCATTAAAATTTGAAGAGAAGCAGGAAATTTAATAGATAAGAAAACAATAACTTCACCTTCTCTGAGTATATGATATCAAACTGTCCACTTGTCCCCATGGACATGCAGTTTCCCCAAGCCAGAGCATCTAGGCAGCCCTGGAGGTTATCCATGACTCCAGTCTTGGCAGCTTTTATGAAGGAACTACCTGGATTCTGCAATAAGATTCCATAACCTTGACATGAATTATATGGGTCATCAAAATTACATTACATAATAAATCATAAAGCATTTGGCTGTAATCATAAATGTGACAACTGACAGAAAAGCATGCTTGCACAAAGGGTGATGAAACAGATGCATGTTTTCTCTGCCGTGCCATGCCTTTTGCATTTAATCCCACAAACTCTCCGCTAGCTGACAGAGTATTGGCCACAAGACGCAGATGCTTAGGAAGGATTGACTTGCCAGTGTCGGATGTTGCAGATGCCAAATTCTACATGTAAAACCATACGCAAGTAAATTAAATACACATGGTTATCATATATTTCAGTTGGAACCAAAAACATAGGTTAAATCATACACACATTGAGAAAACATTGCCACCCTGCATCAATTCCATATGCTGATGAGAAATGATTTATGTTATCTGGCCGACTTCGTGTCCAGTCAATTAGGTGCATTATCTTGAGACAATGACTTATGAGTACACCCCAGAATCTTCCCCTGCTACCATCACTAGACATAGTTACCCTCAAGTACAGTTCACCAGAAGAACCATTATAAGAATGTGTTCCTTTTGACAGATTATTCCATTGAATATCAACCTTCTTGATCTCCAGAAATCCTAAAGTAAATTTCAGGAATTCAAGATGACAACAATAATATGAGAATATTTTACAATAAAAAGCAATACATATTCATGCATGTTGAGCCAGATGTAGTAAAGCATGTGATAAAACTGAATTTGTATTTAAAAAATCCTGACGAGTTTTATGACCTGGCCATCATATCAGGTTGAATACCTATTTAGTTCTTACAACTCTGCTTTTAACCCCATTACCCAAAAAGAAAAAGATAAAAAAACACTTTTAACTCCATAATTTTTATAATAGCCAAATCAAGCGTATAGTTTTGTAACAATAATGTAATCGTAAAAGTTGATATGACTGTAAAGAAAACATCAATTGTCACATAAGCAGCAAAAACATAATTTGAACTTAACAGCTCAAGAAATGCTCCAGCCAAATATCTGCTCATCAAGGTAATTTCTAAAAGGTTGACATACAAATCACCATTTGAAACAACAAATGGCTACTCATGTTAAAAAATTACCAACCTTTTATAGATGTTCCTAGAAGGAAAGGTACCATCAAGTCCCGAACAGAGTCCAGTTGTATAGGATTCTTAGAGTTTTCAACGATTGAGACTGTGATGCAATCATCACCCCCCTTTTCTCTATCTACAGAAGTATCTTCATCCTCCTTGCCCATGGAATCAGCAGAAAACTTCCTGCTATTTCATTGTCTAATTTATTAGGGAATAGGTAAAGCTAAGCAAGAATGACAATTAGTGCAGAAAAATATAGAAAGATAATACATGCCGTTTATTTTTTTGTTTATTTTTAACAAAAGATGAAACTCATTAAGACAGAGAAGATAATTACAAGGGGCTAGGACCCCTAGGAGGATCAGGGCTCCTCCTTAGCTCGAAAAGAAACGGCAAAAATAATTTTCTGTAAAAGATTTGAACCTGTCAATCACACAGCCATCTGGCATCCTTCCATTTCAGTAGGTGCAGAACCTTGTAGCTGTGTGTGTGATTAAACAATTATTTATTTGTTTTATACAACCGTAACATATTATTACTCTTGAGGAGTGGTCTAACAACCATTTGCAAACTGTGGCAGAAGCAACTTAAATGCAAAAAGAATAGCATTTCCATCATAATCAGCTACAATAAAAATAACAGCTCTGGCCACTCTTCTGAGGCTATATATAATTGGCCGTTTCTGATGACAATAATCTATTCAATCACCCTTGGCTTTTTTTTCTTGATCAAAATTGAAAGTTATAACTACCTAGCCAGAAATTAGAAAAAAAAGGTCTACAGTATGCATACTTACCAGTGTACAGAACAGTACTCAGCACAAAATACACTGTCAACTATTGGACCAAAGGATTTCCAGATTCTGCTGTAATTTTCTCATAATTGAAATATTGAGTACATACTTGCATTATACTTGATCATATATTTAGATAATCTCCTACTAGTGTAACTTAATTTCTAATTTTCAATTTCTGTTCTCTTATTTTCCTATGATTTGAAAAGGTTACTGTAGTTCTGTAATAAATTCGAATTGCTTCAAAGCCAGGGAATTCCAGTTCTATTTTGGGGCTTTACCAAAATTATTGAAAGTATGAGGGCTTGCATAAAAAATAGGAAGGAACAACTAATGCAATAAGCAACATTAAGGAAACAAGTACAACCAAACAAAGCATATCCACTTGCAATAATTGGAGCAACAAAAACATTCTGGAATGATGACATAATAAATATAAAGGAACAGCATGCCGAGTTTAAGTTTATTACTTTATACTTTATTGCCTATCTCATTAATAATTAAATATTTTATGCTCTTCAGGCACAGTAAATAAAAAATAGAACTCTATATATGAAATGGTATTAGGAATCAGGATGATGTAAAGCATCAATTTTTTTTATAGCAACCATGAACTGTGAATTTTTCCTCAAGTAACAACAAATATTTTTTTGTAGCAGCATAACAGAACAAACTTACTTGCTTGATATTTTCAAATTGGGAAAACTGACTTTTGATCCTTTTCTGTGGGAGTCATATCGTTGGTAAAGAGAGTCAGTGATAGAATGCACTTTCAATTTTCTTCTCATTACAATTTCCTTGTCTAAATGAAAATGGCAAACCCAAGGGCTGTACTTTTCCTGGCTACAAGACTGTGGGACGTATATTATCATCACAGTAGAAACAATATTTGAGAACATCAATCCTTCCAAATAATTCTTTACTTCTAGGGCTGCATACTCAAACCCATGTCTCTGTTTACCAAGTTTCTCAGACAAAAATAAAGACACAGTCTGTTCACCACCTCTTCTCTTTGAACCACACTCCAGAACCTTTTTTAAATTCAGCAAAGGTGATGTTTCAAGTAGACTAACTGGTTGACTCAAAGCGCTGTATGCAGCTTCCGAAATTGCACAAGCAGAAAGTGCTCCAACTGATTCACCACCCATAGTATACTCTTGGAAACTGCTATCACTAGAAGAGTCCTCAATATCATAAGAAAACTGAATAATTTGATCACCGTACAAATTTCTCACTGTTCCATCATATGCATCATACAAATCACGCATGAAGAACATAAGTCTCCGTGTCAATGTTCCAGGAAGGTCTGCATGGTCACTGAAAGAGCTATCACGATTTGTCACTGAATGAACAAAACATTCAAGAGGATTCAACCCAGTCAGAAACGAGCTTTCAATCATCGCATATGGAATGTAAGACTGAACAGATTCAAGGGTACCAGAAAACATCTGGATTGAATCAAGCTCCTTTTGACTATTCCAAGCAGCACATGAAAGTTGACGGGGAATTCGGTATGACAAGCGAACCAGAGAATTTTGCAGGCCAAGGCACATGGAATGTTGCACTAATTTCAGCAAATTACCCTTGCTTCCAGCCTTAATCATAGCAAGGAAAGTATTGTCTTTGCATGCATATTTGTCAGCTAAACTTTGAATACTGCGAAAAACTTGCCTAAAAGCATCAACTGACACTTGACTGAGAGCAGCAGATATTTGCCTTTCATAATTCAGACGGTCCACATCAACAGGGATAACATTTTCACTCTCCTCAAGACTCCCTGACAGAAAATCATAATAATAATCCACCAATAACTGTTTGAAATTGCATGCCTGTTCTGCTTCTTGTAAGCCATATGAGATTTCGTTCATCATGTTTTTTCGTGCATAGGAATCAGAAGAAAGGTACAAGTCTGAGAGTGAAACACTAAAACCTGTCATAGACAACCACTCACAAAGAGCTTTCTGTGCAGCATACAAAATGTCCAGAGTCTTTCCTTGAAAAAGTTCCACAAGACTCTGGAACACATTGCTGTCAAAATCACGTAACCAACCCGAAGCCTCAGAAGAAGATACAAGCTCTCCTCCACTAACAAAAACACCATCTGAAGGAAAAGAATAGTCAAAATCAGAAGGCAAGAGCATACTGAACAATTGCTTGCCGCTCCAAAATGAGCTATTACTTAAAGGGGTTTTTACAATTGCAGGTGGTGTTAATTTTTTATTGCACAACATTTGAAGTTGTTGCATTTCATACACATTCAAAAGGGCCCCATCTTCCATCAATAAATATGCAGCAGTTAAGCTGTCTTGAGAGAGTGAAAGTAGATTTATACCAGTTTGCCCATTAATCAATTGCTCATCTAAAGCAACCAGCTCATTAAGCTCAACTCTTGCACAGACTGATTGTGGAATATACCCGTGAAGGCAATCACCATCAAAATCACCACGTAATGGGGAACAACAGAGTGGATTAATAGACACTACAGAAGATATTGGAAGGACCCTAACTGTGAGAGCAATCATAGAATGTTGATGTATGGAAGGGGGCCTATTTATCAGCACTTTATCCCCATCACTTAGAGGCCTATAAAATATGTCTCCTATCTGTACATCTTCCTTTCTATACAGAACAACTGGGCTACCCTTTCTGCAGACATCTATTTGTCCCTTCTCTAACAAGCGTAGCTCACAACAATACAACAACCTTTCCTTATTATGCCTATTCACATACTCAGAAACCTGCAAACTTTCTGCAACTTGACAAGGTATACCAATTTCACTAAGTTCAAGGTCTGGATCACCAACAACCACTGTACGGAATGAACTATCATTGCGCTTTCCTAGAACCACATCTTTTATCCATCTTAAACCAGAAGAATTGCAAGCATTTTCTGCAACCTTTCTTTGCTGAATATCGGCAAAAATACTAACTGGTGTTTTATCAGGATTTAACTGCATTTCAAAATTAAATCATAAGAAAAAGCAAGGAATTCAACAAAGTGGCAAAAAAATTAAAAAGTAAAAAATGGATGAGTAACATGCCTTAGAGATCCTCAGGCAATCCAAAACACGAGAACTTAACTCATTAGCTGTACCCCTGAAATCAACCAATTTCTTACAAGCTCTAGTCCTGTCATCCTAAAAATATTTAACCAGATAAAGCACCGTGTTAAAAAAGTGGAATTTACTTAACTATATGTGACAATTTATAAAAATGAAATGCTACAAGAAAGGGCAAAAAAGAAATATACTCACAAAACTCAATCGGTTCCCATTAGACAATGCATGAACAATTTCTGTCACACGATGACAATTTGGTGTCACCGGGAAGCAATTAAGACTGAGAAAATCCATTCTTGGAACATATTGTTTGATGAAGTTTGTATCAACACCACTCAACAAATAATGAACCTGAAAAAAAAATATATATAATTTTCATCAACCTAGCACCACAATAAAGCATGACCCCATAATTGAGGTGACTCATAAGTTATAACAAATTCAGGCAAATTGAAAGAGAGAAGTGTTTTCTAATAGTAAGTAAGAAATGGAATACTTATATCAGCAGGCCTAGTTTTTTATTCATTCCAAAAAAAAATTAAAAAAGTATTTCATGAAATGAAAGGTCACAATAAAGTTATTAATACAAACCAAGTTACTAGAATTTGAGAAGTTTGAATTCCAACATTTGACAGAGCATGTATTTGTTTGCAATTGAACCCCATTCAAGATCAGACATTTAATTATATCTTTCCTAACAGATTTGTATGAATTTTCTGGAATTTTCATATTTCACATGCTAAACAATTTGTATACATTTATAATAAAAAAATTTAAGCTATGATGGAGTAAGGTCATCAGAGACTAATAAGCAGTTAAGGCACTTAAGATGAAATTAAAACACCCCCTTCTTTCCTCATATCTAACATGATATAATTATACAATTAAGCCTACTGATAACCTTCTAGGAGACTAAATTTTAATTTTAATATAGAGCAAATTCATACTATCCAATGGAAATGATACAAGACTGCAAAAGTATGTAAAAGTGGGCAGTGCTACCTGAACAGGTGATAAAACCCTTCTATTTACACAAGTTTCTTCTTGTTGACCATCATTAGGAATAAAATCCCAATAATCAGCAGGCAATCTTCGTGCCAAAGGTTTCTTCTTTGAGGCCTTGTCATTTATATCAACAATAATTGCAGTTCTTCTGAAGAGATCATTAGAGGAAACTCTGAATTTCATTGCTGGATATCGACCATATCCCTATTTGATGCACAAGCAGTCTTATAAAGGCAAACAGAAGAATAAAAGGGGAAAAGAATTACTCTGGAGTGAATAAATGAAGTCACACAAACTTACACAACAATATTTGCAACCATTGTGCTGCTTGATTCCAGAGATTAATTGAGCACTCTGTAAGAAGACAATTTAACTTAATAGAAAATAGATAACAGGTAATAATACAAATCCATACGGGCCAAACCACTATTACTACAACAAAGAAACAAGCAAAAAGAAAGAAAAATTATAGAATGATTTTTGTTGGAATAGCTGGAAGCAAAGATCACAGGTAAATACTCAGAAGACGTCAGATTGTATATAAGAATCCAATGTAACTTAAAAATTGGGAAATATTTTTGAAGGATTTTAACAACCTAAAAAGTTGCCATATCACTAAGCATCTCATACCAGGAAGGAAGTTCTAAACTTCAAATTCCTTTTTTCATGTCTGGTTATCTATTTTACACATGCCAAACAACTGGTTATTGGATTGACTTCTACAGTGGATTTTTTAATTATATGGAACCACTGTAGCACAACAAGTATATATGAGCAAAGAAGGGAAGGATATAAATGAAACAGCACTACTTTTCCTTTGAGAGACTAACAAGGTAACAAAACACAACTCCGTTACCATTGTTTGGGAGTTAACTTATAAAGGATCGGCATAAAACTATTTTAACTTTTAACTCCATTACAATTTTTAGTTTCCCCCAATCTTTCCACTTTTTGGAAACAAATTCATTCATGGAGAAGAATTGAGGGGGAACAGATCCCCTTGAATTCATTTCGCTTCTCATTTATTTTTAAACTCCAAAACAATGGAAATTTTCACCCTTCCACTTGTTCCCCTCATTATCTGTCATCAAAAAACAATGTAAGGAAAAGATAAAATACTTCAATTTTATGAACAATTACTATTCAATTAATTAATGTTCTTCAAGAGTTGCTAAAGAGTAAGTAATTAATAATGATGGGATTTTTAATTCCTCAGTATACCCTTAAAAAAAATCATGCACATAAACCTACATATAGTATAAAAAGCAAGACAAGTCAGAGAGTGAAGGAAAAATATTTGTTGTGTAAGACAGAGAAGAAACAAATGAAACAATAACATTAAATTTGGTATTTTTTAATAAATGAGTAAAACCGATTGCTTAACTTTAGTTCATTTAAATTATACTAGGTATAAAGCAATTCTTTTTTGCCCTTTCTCAGAAAATGAGAAGCAGAGAATTAAGTAGAATAGCAGATGTTAGGTCCCCATGTTGATTCACACATAGTTCTGACTATAAATGTCAAAGCTGAAGCTCTTTACCAAGAAGTATTTTGAACTTTAAACTAGAGCACTGATGCTTGAGTATCATAAAATATTATTTAACCACCATGTTTCAAAGTCAGAAGTATATTACATACGAAAATATAATAATTTAGATGCTTCATGCAACTCCACCACCAAAGAGAAAAAATATCAGTGTGTGAGAGAACTTATGTATGCCCATTTAATGAAGTGAACTCTCACTATTCCAGACCAAATAGAAACTAGATTTATACAGAAATACAGTAAAAATTATAAACAATCACATTCGCGTAAATTTTTTCTCCTATTCTAGTTCATACTTCATATTTGTTTCTAATTCACAGTCAATGAAAAGAGTTTTACACTATCAATGAGTCACATGCAGCCACCTAATTAAAGAAAAAAATTAAACATTAACTTGCAATGAAAATCTTTTGTTACTACAACCTAATAAGATGGGACACCATTTTGGTCACCAAAATTGTCGAGATTTAAAGCAGACAACAAATCAGATTAAAACTCTTGTAATTAAGGAACTATGAAAAATGATATAAAGTGTCTAACACACAGTAGTAAATTAATACTTGATCCATTGCCAATAAAACTTGTTCATGATAACAATAGAAAAGATCATTTGCATGCCATTTAGTAACTTAGAGTTCAATCAAAGTAACGCTTTTAAAGAGGTTGCACCATGGGGATTGTAGATATATGAAACTCTTCACACTAGCAATGGACTAAAACCAATTCTGTATTATAACAACAAAAATCAGATTAAGCATATTAGTATTTGGTAGAAGGAAAAGATACTGTACCTTGGATTTCTGCCGAATAGATTTACAACCAGGGCAAATCCTGTTCAAGATTTGTGCAATCTCTGACATAAAATATGGATGGAGTATAGCAAAAGGAAATTTGATGACCCCAAAATGACCTGAAATTGAATATTAATATTTCAGCATCTTTTCTAGTAAATTTACAAAGATCATATCACAATCTCTGATGACATTTTCCATGTAATACGTCCATCCACACCTTCACAAAATTTTCTGTCTTTAGAACCACATGTGGTGCACTCATCAGATGTATTTGGAAGTCCCAAACTTGAACAAGTGACCTGCCCAACCGCATTTATCTCCAATGCAGCATTCTTCTCCTGTAGATGCAAAAGTAATTAACATTTAATATGTGATTCATAAATTACAAGATAACCAGAAGAAATTTATGAGATAATCTATCTGCAGAATAAATTTATTTTTCAAAAGGTAAACAAAATTGATGCAACCAAACAAGGATGTGCTTTCGACCCACCCTCCACTCTGTTTACGTGTTACATAGTGTGTGCATGCCCATTGATCTAATTCCACTTCTAAACTAACAGTGAACTGATACACAATTTAAAAAAGCTGATACAGATATAAGATTAAGAATATACTTAACTATATCTTCCTTGGTTAAAACATCAAACTGTATTGCTTTTATGACACAAGATGGCACTTTGTGCTCATGAGAGAGGTCATCATCCATGGAACTTGGTAACCTTGCACTCAGCAGAAAATTTCAAGCAGCCTGTTCATTTGCGTAGTATTAATAGCGTATAAACAAAATGACCTCATAGAACAAGGGACTGAATTAGTGAGTAAAACTATGCATGCCCATACTGTATAAACCTGAACTTGTATGTTTGCTAGCTTAGTCTAGATTGCATGAACATTGGTATGAGTACCACTAAAGGTAAAATAAAAAATTAAAATCTATGAAACAGGTACAGGAAGATATATTGTATAATTTATGAAAAATAATTAATTAATTACATATCTAAAGTGGAAGATAAATACATTTTTAATAACATTCTTACTCTCTGTTTTCAACAAAATTGCATTAATTACATCAAGCAAGGAAAAAAACTTTAAAAGTTGACCCAAAATTGGAAAGGGTGAACTAGAAATTTGTTTGGGTTTGTAGAAAATTAAACAAGTTAGAGTAAAACTTCCCGTTTTGCAAAGACTAGCTTGTATTTTGGTCACATAAGCTTAGTGCGATGCTTAACCAAAATGTGTCTAAACTTTTTCAGTGGCAAATTTAAAGGGAAATGAAAAAAATGTGCGCGTGTGTGTTTCTTGTGCACCCAATGCCTACAGTGGATAAATAGCAAGAAATCAAATATCAAATATTCATATCACAGGTGAACCAAAATTATTGATAGAAAAGTTTGCCAAAACAAATATTCATATTAAGAATCACTGGTTAAGTGCGCGCCGAATTCCCTAATGAGCGGAATTCCCTGGAGTGTCCTACGATGTCTACGAGCAGTTAAAGACATTACCATTCCAAATTGACTGAATTTTAAACAGTAACTTTGTGGGCAATAATTGCTCGAAGGAAAAATACCGCCAAAAGAAAGTAGCGGGAGTATATAAACTAATACCAAAAAGAGTTGGGCACAGTGATAAGCTGCGCTCCCCGGTTCGTGCCCGAAAAATCTAGTCTCGCACTCAAAGGATTTTAACAAAACCTGAATGAATTAAACAACCATAAGCACATCAATTAATATCATGAGAACCGCAGAGCATGCCATTCAACCAAACGATTAAACCAGATACGCCAATCGAAGGAAGGGACCGTAATGGTTTAATTAAGTTATCAACCAAAAACGCGTATACACGCGCCTGGCTAGAACTGATAGAGATTATTAAGTACAGGAAATTGATTAGCAACTGAACCAAAGAAATTCATCATTAATGAGTACGAAGTGAAGTCACATTGCCGGAAAATCCATTCTAGAACCTTCCGAAAGCACGATCACGCAACATGCAGAATAGAAAAATCATGCACATTTTGTCACTCGGCGGAGCGCGTAGCGTGCAGATAAATAGAGCGATTGAATGAGTTCAAAGAAAGAGAAAAACGATTTATCGTGGAAAAAAGAGAGCGAAAGAATGAAAGAGCGAGGAGTTATCAGTTATTACTCACTTGAGTGAAAGGAATGAATGATCGAAAAACGCAGAACGCAGTCACTGATGAGGTGCACTGCGACTGCGGAGCGAGGAAGAGGAAACGGAAACGGAAAAGCGAATTGGAGTGAGAGTTGGTCGTGAAGAGGAATGAACGGCGCCGGTCACTTTCTGAGTGAGCACGAGACAAACGCCAAGTTCAGAAGGGGCACTTGTGAACACCGAGGCCGAGAGAAAAGGTTAGTCCGTGTGCTTTTTGGTTCGTGTCTCTAGGTTATATATAACCCTGTCCTTTCCTCTTTTTACGATTTTACCCTCCACAACACCCACCCTGTGTTTCATGCATAATTATTATTTTAATAATAAGAATGTATTTTTCCAAATCACAGGAAATACTAAATACATCTTATTATTAAATGTTTTAGATTATTATAAATAAATGTATTAAATGTTCATAATTTTGAAACAATAAATGCTTTTATTCTTAATAAAAATATTAAGCAATATTTTAAGAATATTTGTTAAAAAAATTTATTAAAAAATAAAACTTCACTCATTGTATTTTTTTTTTTTAAGTGAATGCTAGTAGTATGTTTTTAACACATTTTAAATTATTAATTTAAATTTATTAAAAATATATAAAACTTATGTAATTCGCTTTTTTTTACTTTAAGTTAATTGTTTTTTAATAAATTTTAACAATCAATTAAGAATATGTTAAAAAAATATGTTACTAAGATGAAAATTGTTTTTAATTTTTTTATTACCTTATATAAACTTTTACATTTATAAAAAGAATTCTTACTTTTTATAAACTTTCAAATTTTCTATAAATACTTATGTATATTTTAATCATTGTAAAAAAAAATTTCCTTTAATTATCAGATTATACGTATATATTTTTAAATAAAATACAAATTTTTACATGAACTCCTAAACTAATTTTTTAACATGTATCATTGAAATACATTAAAAAATTGATAAAAAAAATACTCTTGTCCTTTTTTATTCGATGTTTAAGATATAGTACATAATTAAGAAAATAAGTGAGATTTTAAAATTTATAAAATACTACTACTTAACTTTTTATTCATTATATTATATTAATTATCTTATTTATTGACTACCCTTTACCATGTGAATAGTAATTATTAAGGATAACATATATATATATATATATATATATATATATATATATAACTTTGATTGTTTATTAATTTTATAAAATAACAATAAATAAAACAAAATTACTAAAATGTAAAAAAAATATAATGAATATAATTTTTATAATGCGTGTTTAAAGGTAAATAATAATAAAAAATATTTTTATTAAAAATTATAAAATATCACAGTTAAATATGCTATATTTTTAAATAAAATAATAATATTTATTAATTTTTCCCATAATCCTGAGAAAATTTTATCCAGTCAGGGTAGTTTATCTTGACTGAGGTTGACTGAAATTGTACTAGTTGAATTTCATAATCCTAATTCTCCGTATATTTGGATAAAGAATTCTAAAGAAAGAATGTTTATTTTATTTACAATGATTTATTAAAATAGCCTGGGTCAGTGGTTAGTGAGATTAAAATAAAATTAAAAATGAGCAATTGGGTCGAGAATCGTATTATCTAAAATGAACAATTTGGTTCGTTATGTTGAATGCTCGGTCCATTTTAATATTTAAATTCATCATTTGTTTTTAGTTATACAAATCTTTGTTTATAAATTTCTTATGATTAGAGATGAAAATAGGTCAGGTCAGGTCAAGTTTACTTTAAATAAACTTATTTGTAACATAATTATTAGGCTTGAATCTGATCTGTTATCTGTTAAAGGCTTTATTTTAGGTCTAATTTAACCTGTTTAAGTGACCTGTCCTGACCTGAAGCCTGTTAACAAAGCCTATTACAAAAAAAAATTAATATTAATAAAAATATAAATATAAATATTTTATTATCAAATTATTTTATATATTTTTCTAATTTTTATCTATCTTCTTAATAATCATTAAATAATTATAATAATATTTATATAATTTTATAAATAATTTTTAAAATATTATTTAAGTATTAATTATAAATATTTTATATTAATATTTTTCTTGATTTATTTTTTAAAAATTATATAAATAGTGAATATTTTAGTTTTATTTTAGAAATATATTTTGTTTGTTTGAAGACATCTTATATTCAACAAATAAAGTTATAGTAAACACATAAAATTGATAAAAAAAAAAAATTTACACAATTTGTTGAATCAATTAAAAGAAAATTATTATGTTTTAAAAAAATAAATTTAAACTTAATGCAATATATATATATATATATATATATATATATAATGACAATAATAATAACCATTAAATTAAAAAAATAATTACAAAATATTTAATTTTATTTGTTTCATTAATTTGTTATTTTAAATTAACAAATAAATATAAAATTAACTACATTATAACATTAATGTAATATAGAAAATATTATTGATATAATAAATTAAAACATATACTTATATATTACATATAAATTGATAAACTAACTAATAATTTAATTAAAACACGTGCAAGTTATAAAAATATATATTATTATATAATTTATTTATAATTATATTATTTATATTATTTGCTACATGGTCTGATTATATATATATATATATATATATATATATATTATAATAAATTTTTTATTTTATTTTCTTATCATTTTTTATAAATTTTTTCTTTCAAATAAAATATAATTTATATTTAAGTAATTTCTATTTATTATAAATATAAAAAATTATAACATAATATATTAATATAATAATTAAATATTAATAATAATAAATTAAAAATATAAAAAATTTATTAAAAGAATATTAATATTTTATTTTTAAATTTTAATTTGTTTAGTTTTAATCGTGTCTTATTCTTCTTCAGCTTATTTAAATATAACAAATATAATAATTTATGATTAAATAAATTTATTTTTTAAACACATGTAATCATGTATAAATATTTTTAAATAGAAAAAATTATAACATAATATATTAAGATAATAATTAAATATTAATAATAATAAAATTAAGAATATAAAAAATAAATTAATATAATATTATTATTTTATTTTTTAATATTAGTTTCTTTAATTTTGATTGCGTTCTAATCTTATTCGAAAACTTTGCTACTTTTCAGCTTGTTTAAACAAATATAATAATTTACCTTATATTTATATTTAAAGTAATTATAAATAATTAAAAAACAAGAATAAAAAATAAGTGTGATAGCAGCTTTGACTCAAAGGTATGTGGTTGTGCTAGGTTTGTGATTTGTTGTGATGTAGTGAATATAATCAATGGAATTTTTTATTATAAATTTTATACCAATAAAATTGCTTAAGAAAAAATAAAAAAATAAAATAAAATTTGTATAATATTAAAAGTTTATAATGATTGTTGTTATTAAATAATATTAATAAAAATATCATTATTTGTGTTATTGATAATTATTAAATAATTGTAATGATTTTTACATAATTTTATAAATAATTTTTAAAATATTATTTGAGTATTAAGTATAAATATTTTCATATTATAAATTTTTTATATTTTTATTTTTTTC